ATTTGTAGGGATGCACATGGAGCCTATTGGGTCCCAGTTTTCATCTCTGGGAAAAACAAAAAGCAGGAAGCCTGGGAGGGATAGCCACAGAACTGGAAAGGAGGGCCCTCAGGTTCTAGAGAACTGAACCTGGCAAGATCCCAACATCCTGGTTCTGTCCTGTGCCAGCACCTGATGATGGCAAGGTTCCAGTTTCTGTTGGATGTGCCCCATCACCCCTGGGTCCCTGGGTCCCAGCAGCAGTTGGGGAAAGAGGCAGATGAAGGAGGTCAATGTAGAAGAGCTTGAGGAAGCTCTGACAGTGAGGCTGCTGTTCGATTCTTGAAGAAGCCTTTCTTGAGCAGCTTGAGGCAGAAGGCACTGACTTCAGGTGTTTGGGGTGGAACTTCTTGGCCCTGCTCTTGATGTAGCAGCTGGTAACAGGAGGACAAAATCCCGCTGCCCATGGCAGTGTGCCTCCAAGTACTGCTGCCCATTTGCTCAAAGAAGCTGCTGACAAAAAGCGGGGAACACTCCCAGCACACATGCACTCAGGGTGCCACAGAGTGGGATGGAGTTGTCCAGGATGGCCCCAACACAGCCACCACACTTGGGTGCAAACTGCCAGAATAATGTGTCCAGCAGCAGGCTTCTCCCTCTTCTTACGAACACTTCCATACGGGGAACAGAAGTGTCAGCACCTCAGAGAAGTTCCAGGATCTGAGCTCTTACTGGCTGTAGATGCAGAAGAAGTGCTCAAGGTGACGTGTCTTCCCCAGGATGGTCACAATCTGCCTGGTGATGGGCTTCTCGCTGGCCTTTTGGCAACTGTGGAGACCCCCAGCTTGTTCCAGTCAGACTGAAGACTCTCCAGTATGCTGTGGATCTGGCTCCTGGGCTTTAGAGGTCCTTGGAGGTGAGCTGTTCCAAGTCTTCCCCTAGGCCATGAACCCTCCTCCTTCTTCTAAATAATTAGATCTGTACCATTACTTCACAAATCTCATTTAATTTTATTACTGGTTGCTCCTCAGCTCCCAGGCCCTTGGCAGTTAACCAACCTGTGCCTGATTGACAGACCTGCCTCTTCCAGGAATATGCCATCTTTGGAGACTCCTTTAACTTGGCGCATTGCACGTGCAGTTCCAGCCATTTCCTGCATAACTGTTTTACTCTATGTGGTGTTCTGTTATGTGGATAAAACCACAGCTTGTCTGAAATATTTGTTTCCAGTGTGAGGCTATTATAACTAAAGATGCTTTTTCAAAGTGGTTGGAGATACTCTGCATTTCTGAATGTATTTTTGACTCAGTTTGCCAACTTCTATTTTTAAAAGCTAGCTAGGAGTTGGAATAGGATTGTAATAAATCTATGTATAACTCACTTTAGGGAGAACAAGAATCAATAATGTTGGGTCTTCCAAATCACAAACAAGATACATTTCTCCACTTACTTAGTTCTTTCTCTCAGAAATTTTTATGGTTTTTAGCATATTTTATCAGCTGTATCCCTTGACATTTAAAATTTATGTTTATTACTTCTAGTAGATTTTTTTCCATAACATTTTCTAGATAGATGGTAGTGTTGCTCCTAAATAAAGTGTTTTATTTCTTCCTTCTCAGTTTGGATATTTTTATCCTTGTCTGTCCCCTCCCCAAACTACACTGACTAGAATTTCAAGTGTAATGTTAAAAAGAAGCCATAAGAGTAGCCATCATCTTTATATGGTACCTGATCTTAAGCACAAAGTATTCAGTATTTCATTATAAAGGCATAACATTACCTGCAGCTTTTTAAATAGATGCTCCTTATCAAACTGATTAATTAATTTTGATACAGTGAGACAGGGTCTCACTACGTAGACTAGGCTGGCCCAAAACTCACAGAGCTCTGCCTGCCTCTGTCTACCTAGTACTGAGATTAAAGTTATATGCCACTACACTGGGTTTGCAGAGAATTTTTGTTGTTATTTTTATTAAATTTTATTAAGAATTTTGTTAAGAAATGATGATGGATTTTATTAAATGCCTTTTCTGCATCTACCAGAATGAACCTGTCATTTTTCTCTTTTGGTTTCTTAATATGGTGACTCAAAATGATCAATTTTTTTCAAATGTTAAACCAACATTTTATGCTTGGGATAAATCTTACTTGGCTATTATGGATTGTCCTGTGTATGTATTTGAGGCCTAGTATCCTGTTGCTGTAATAAAACCCTGACCAAAGCAACTTGAAGAGGGAAAAGGTTTATTTGTTTTAAAATTCCAGGTTACAATCCAGCACTGAGGGAAGTCAACACAGGAACATGAGGCAGCCAGTGACTTCCAGTCAAGAGCAGAGAGGGAATGAACGTATGTATGCTGACCGACCACTCAGTTCACTTCCTCCATTTTCAGAGTCCAGAACCCAAATACAGAGACTGGTACCACTCATAGTGGGCTGGGTCTTCCACATCATTAACATAATCAAGACAATCCTCCACAGATGTGCACACAGGCCAGCCTGATCTAGACAATCCCTCATTGAGAATCTCAAGTGATTCTAGATTATATCAAATTGACAATTAAAACGAACCACTATTATGTGTATAGATATAACTGAATTGGATTTGCTAAAACTTTGTTTATAATTTAAAACATCCGATTGATACTGATGTATAGTTTTCTTTCTGATATTTGCCCCACACTCCACGCACACCAAATTTTATTATCTTCTGATTCCAAAGAATGAGCTGGGAAGTATTACACCTTTTTCAGTTTCTGGAAAGGTTTACACAGTTGGAATGATGTCTTTCTTAAACTTACTTATACACTTTTTAATTTCCTTTCAATTTCTTCTTTAATACATGTGTTACTGAAAAGCATGGTACTGAAATTCCAAATATTTGCAGGCTCTTGCAGAGCACTTTCTTGCTATTGGTTTCTAGCGTAATTCCTCTATGGCTGGAGAATGTACTGTGCATGTTTCAACTGTGCTTAAGGCTACTGGCCCGGAACATAATCTGTCTCGGAAAACGCTCCAGATGAAGGCATGGGCGCATGGTTTGGGGACTAAGTGATCTATAAATGTCAAGCAGGTCAGGCTGGCTGACAATATTAGTCAAATACTTCTATTTTCACTGGTTTCTTCTTGGGTTGGCTAATCTTGGTTGTCAACTGGACTCCATTTGGAATCAGCTAAAAGCCAAGGAGCTGGACAGGATGAAAGAAGCTTCTGCTCTTTGTCTACTTGCCCTCACCCTCGCTGGTGAGTCCGTTCCTTCACCAGCATTAGAACCACCTTCTCTAGGATTCTAATGTAGACTGAAGACCACCGGAGACACCCAGCCTCGTGGACTGAGCAACTACCAGATTGTTGGCCTTTCCATTGGGAGACTAGCTGGACCACAACCTGTAAGGTACTGTCCTACTAAAACCATAGTAGTTCTATCATCTTTAGTATTCTGAAGCTTTGTATAATATTAAAAGTGGACTGAGCATGTATTGCCATGGTCTCCACTGACAACTGGTGATGATCTAATGGCAACCATGTACTGGAATGTACAGTATAGTGTTTCTATATATATAAGTGCTTTCTTAAGAAATCAGAATATTGAACACCAAAAAGGCAGGTACAGCAGAAGGAAGAACAGAGTTTAGCTCAATTCTCACAGTCAAGGACTCTTGAACTGGTAACTTTAATCTTAAAACAACTCAGTGATCGGAAAAACCCTCCAGTTTTCCTTGTTCAGTTTTGGAACAATCTCTTCCCCTGAGCTCTTGGTGAGCCTTTATAATAATAAACCTAAGTACAACTAGGAGTGATGGGCTGGACTGTAATCCCAGCACTCAGAAAGCTGACATAGGAAGAGCATAAACTTGAGGCTAGTGTGGGCTACATATTTAGACTCTGACTAAAAAATAAACAAAAACAAAGTATCTGCCCTCCTAACTAGGATTGCCTGCTCCTATATTCATTACAACCTGAATTCCTAATGGGTAAAACCCTTAGAGGGATCTACTATCTCACTAACATCAAACCTCTATAATTTAGAATCCTGCCTGACTACTCTTCATTCTGTCAAAATAATCTATGTCAAATGAATGCCTAAGCCCACAATGAATAATTGTAAATTTCCTGGAGATAGCTAAATTTTAGATGTGCAATCACAAAGCTAATGAAGATGATTGTTTATTGTTGAAATTCTTGTCCAAGGGACAAGAGTCACCTTTCCAACGTCCATTCTGTCCTGATACTCTGATTTTACGCTTCATCTCTAAGAAGTAGGAGCCCTAGTGATCTAACCTTAATATTAGTGCTAGGAAGCACCATCACATTGACTGACAGAAGAGCACCCGGTGCTTCCGGAGGTGTTTTCTACCTCTAGAGAGGAAGAGTCTCTCTGGTAGACAAGATTCTATTCTAACTAGGTCATCTTTGTTTCCTGTGACAAGGCGGCAGCTGGACTAAGTGTCTCATGAAAACATGAAAATCAGAAATAGCTGTCTTATACAACTAGACATACTGTGATATAAACTCTGACCGCCCGCCTTCAGAGTGAGAAGCACAGCATGCTGGGACCTCAGTAAACAAGGATTGAACATTCTGAAAACAGTGTGCTGCTTATGTGGATAAAGACTACATGATTTAAAATTTAAATACTTTTTATCACAGTGACCATGGAATTGTGTTGAGAAACAAAAGAATGTTTTAAAAGTGTCTCAATCTTTTATAGCTTTTTCATGTAATTTTTAATCTAAGGAAAATTTCTTTTCTGTAGTGATTCCTGCTCACCAGTCTGTAGTACTTAGCTGCTTTTTCCCTGTTGCTGTTTTTATTTCATTTTACATCATTTCTCTTAAGTAGATCTCATTAAATTTGTTTTAATGCATCACCAGACACATATTCTCAGAATGACTTTGAGAAAAAGCGTTTTTGATCATTGCCATAAGACTCATTGCTCTGGTAAGTTCCAGCGGAAGAATGAATGCACCTAAATTGCAGTTGCCCCACCGTCCAGGTGCTTCCCATCACTCAGTGCATACCTCGGCTTCCATGTGATAAGCATTTTCTACTCTTCTAATATCCTTTGTGACGGCGACATTTTCTGCCTGAAACAGAAAGTAGCACAGTGAAGTTACTAAACCTTTGCCTATGAATTTAGTCGTTTCTGCCCGTCAATTAAGAAGCCTGAGTTTGAAATAGGAAGACACACAGTATACAAAAGATGAACTGCCTGCCTTGATGTTTCAAACTTCCTTAAAACTGCCATAAAATCAATCTGAAGCCTACAAATACTTGTTCAAAAAATGGATCCATTTTCACTTCGGGTTTTAGTTACTTATGTCACTTGAATAGAAGTTATGAACTGACTTGACAAAGCACCTATCATGTGTACCTCTTGGTAAGTTACTCAGTATTTTTTGAGCTTTTGCTTCCACATGTATAAAATCAGGTCAATAGACATACCACATGGTTGCTAGAATGATTTAAAAACAAGTTGTATGTAAAGTTCTTGGATAGAGAAGACTAAAGACAGAAGTAGACCCCATAATATTACAGTATAGAATTCCACTATGCCTTCCCTGCCACAATGTACTTCTCAAACTATGAGCCAAGGGGGGGGGTGGGGGGGAGAGAGAGAGAGAGAGAGAGAGAGAGAGAGAGAGAAAGATCCCACAACCAACACATATACTTACATGACCATGATTGTCCCTGAATCTTCCCACAGATATGGAAGGATGCTAAACGTTGAGTTCTACAATCTAGGAAGTAAGTCCTGAGTTAATGAGTATTGTTTGACATGGGAATAGCCATGTAAGGACCCCAATGCCTCAGCCCCATGGGGGTGACAAAGCCTGACAGTGTGTACAGAAAATGGCCACTTTACTTTCAACACACACACACACACACACACACACACACACACACACACACACACACACAAACCCTAGAGACTATTTCTCTGAGAGTAACTAAACCTGCCTCCTTGTCCAGGTATATACAACAACCCCACCTCCCCATTCTACTGTATATAATAAACACACTGAGCTTCTGGGGTGCTGCAGCTTCTCTATCGGAGAGCACAGTCTGTCTGTGTCCATGTGTATGACATTTCTTCACTCCCTTTCTGCCTCAGTTAGGTGAATCCCTGGAGCCGTGCAGAGCATAGCACCTCTTGATGCTTAGAGTCCTAGGTCAGAATCAGTATTCATTCTGTTTCCATTCTCCCCCAGTATCCATGTACAGCAGTTTCAGAACTAGTATACCCTGGAAAACAGACTTATCCATCAGAGCATGGGGTTTCTGTACCTTTATCTTTACTCTTACAGTTTCCAGTCAAAACACTACTTCCTAGTTACTTAGGACATGCCTTTCCCCACTTCCTTTAATACAGCTGTGTTCTTTGTTTATAACAGAACTGGGTTCATTTATCACAGTCTCAATTCTGTACTGGGATTAATGTCTGACAGCCTGTTTGATACCTTTCCTCCCCCAGCTTGCAAATGTTACTATTCGCTCCGTGACTTGTGGCTCTTTGGGTTCTGACAGATGCATAAGGCGATGTATCAACCACTCCAGCAGAGTGAAGAACTGGTCTTCCACACTAAAGGCTCTCCTGTGCAGCCCCTTTACGGTCAACCACTTAGTTGCCTCCACAGGTTTGTCTTTTCTGAATGTCGTAGGAATGGAATAATGAAACATTTGTCTTCTTGGTCTGGCTTTTTACTGACCAATATGCACCTAAATGACTAAATTTTGGCTACACTATAAGTTAGAGGCCAGGAATATTGTTAAACATCCTACAATACACAGGTTAATCCAACAAAAGGGAATTAATTATCTAGCTCAAAATGTCAGCAGTGCTATGCTGATAAATATACCACGTCAGCCTATTTCATGAGGCTTTCCTTACTATGTTACAATTTTTTTTCTACATACATATAAAAGGCAGACTTTTGTTTTATTTTTTATTTTTTTATTTTTTATTATTTTTTTTCTTTTTTTCGGTTTTTTGAGACAGGGTTTCTCTGTGCAGCTTTGCGCCTTTCCTGGAACTCACTTGGTAGTCCAGGCTGGCCTCGAACTCACAGAGATCCACCTGGCTCTGCCTCCCGAGTGCTGGGATTAAAGGCGTGCATCACCACCGCCTGGCATAGTATTTTTTTTTTTTTTGAGACAGGGTTTCTCTGTGTAGTTTTGGTGCTTGTCCTGGATCTTGCTCTATAGACCAGGCTGGCCTCGAACTCACAGAGATCCACCTGCCTCTGCCTCCCTAGTGCTGGGATTAAAGGTGTGCACCACCACCGCCCAACAAAAGGCAGACTTTTAAAACAAAATGGTCAACACAGGAATAGCTATTTTAAATACTATGAAAAAGGTAATAGGCTCAATAGCCATAAAAAAGCTATATAAGAATAAATTTAAAAAGAGAAAACCATACAACTATACATAAAATATTTGAATAAACTTACTATGACATAATATTGTAAAATCAGCAATTATCCTGAAATATATATGCTTAATAGCAAATATAAAGGGAAGTTCTACTTGTTCTGTAGACATTTCTACCATCTAGAACTACAGACCCCATCTCCATGTTCTCATTTAACATGCCCTGTTCCCTGCAGGCAGGAAATCCTTCCAGTACATAGTAATGAGGAGAGAACATGGCCTCAAAGGTTTTACAAAGATGTAATAATTTAAACAGTATGGATAATATAGGAGTACCATAATGACCCAATGTTTTACGCTAATCTGGGTCAAAATACCTTAAGAATGCAAAAAAACAGTGACTTGGAATATTTCAGAATTGTAGGCAGTATGGAATCCTCAAGTCATAGCCTGTGATTCAAGTGAAGCTTGAGAGACCACAACCATTTTGGATTCCCACATTTGCTTACCACAGACATGCAGATATCAAAATACAAGTTAATTTGTCTGTAGCATTTCTCTCGCCACAAACAGAAGCTTAGGTTGTCCATTCAGGCTTTACTTCCGGATTTATTTCTGTGTACAAGTGTTTTGCTCACATATATGTCTATGCACAATGTGTGTGCTTGGTGCCCACAGAGTTTAGAAGAGGTCATCAGATCTCCTGAAACTGGAGTTAGAGGGCTGTCAGCTGCCATGTGTGTACTAGGAATCGAACAAAGACCCTTGGCAAAGAGCAACTTAAAAAAAGTGCTTAACGAAAAGCAAAGTGCTCTTAACCACTGAACCACGTCTCCAGCCCACAGGATTTTTTTCCAATGTGGTTACAATAACTAACTGTGGCTATCTCTTAAGATGACTTATCATCATGTGATGTAAGGCTCAGGATGGATGCAGTGTTTTGAGTCACACAGGAAGATACCGGGGTGGGATGGATGCAGCATTTTGAGTCACACAGGAAGATACCGGGAAAGCGAGGGGACTTAACCACATAAATCCTGATTAGCCACAAAACCACCTGACTTTTCAGTTATGTGAAACCGAGGTTTTCATTTTCAAAGGTACGTGGAGATCATTTTGAAAGTTAAGGCTGACTAATAAGGGTTATCAGGCACAGCTACTTACCTAGTTAAAAGAAAATAAAACTTGTTATTTTACCAAAATAAACTCCAAGAATAGAGTATTTATGGACTATTTAGGATCTCTAAAGATTCCAGGATGTGCCATTTAATAACCATATTGCCTTACAATAATGGACCGAATAAATAGTACATTAAAGGTAGAAAATATACAAAAAAGATTAATGAGTTTGGCTAAATAAACTGTCAAAACTTTGAAAGTTTGAAACCATGTAAGTTATATAACCCAGATGCAGACTTGTTTTTGCAATACATGTCAGCCATAAGTTATCGGTAATCTTAAAATGCAGAAAAGGTAAAGGAAAATGGGCAAAATATTCCGAACTAAAAATTTATATGGAAAAAGCTTAACTTCCATTGTTAAAAGGGAAAATATCACTTCTTTGGACTTAATGAATTTGAAAAGTTACAGAAGAAAATAATGGTTACTGTGCCAAGTGGAGAAGGTATAAACTAATCTTCCTAAGTTTTTCATAAGCCTTCATATATACAAACACATACACATGTGTAAATATGTAGCATGCGTTTTTTAATCATGAAAAACAACAGCAAATGAATATGCCAAACTATTCCTACCATTCCCTATCTTAATTTGGGTATGGCCAGAAGCAGATTTGGAAACAAGGTTTGGATTGGTTCATTTTGAAGGTAATTCCAAAAAAAATAAGTGGGTTATTATTTTTTTATACAGAAGGGAACCAAAAGAGTTTGGGTTGTGAAGCAAATTACCATCGGGGGCAAACTCAAATTGACCCTGCAGAGAAACTGCAGCTGCAGTTGAGGGTCAGAAACTCTCAATTACTCCACTCAACAAGTGAAGAAGTTGGGGGTCTCCTGTCCACTCCTGTCACTCAGCTCAGTTCTTTATTATCTTAACTTGAAGACTGTTCAGGGTGGGGCAGGAAAATATCATTTCCTGGTATTAATGCATGACCCCATTTGCAGGAAGTTTCAGAGCCTGGCCAGGCAATTAATTCACATATAATGGCAGACAGGTGTTGGGCCAGCAAACATAAAAGGAGATTATTATCATCACCCACTATGTCACCTCCCTGACACCTCCATCATCTACTGCCAAGAGAATAAAGTAATAACATCCTGTAATAGTTAAAAGCGTGGGTCAAAGGTCTTGGATGGCATCTAAATTTGTCATTTCTTAGCTGTGGGCAAGCTATCTGCCAGTAGTCACTCTGGTCCTGAGAATTCTCTTCGATAAAGCAGCAATGTTAGAACATCAGAGGGTAGGAATATTAAGTGACACAGCATTGTATAAGATCTGTCAACAGGAAGCAGCTGTCTTAATTATAAAGAATATTGAGACACTCCAGGAGGACACTTGTGTTAGAATCTAAAATAACTTCTCAGGCTTGTATTTTGAGCACTTGTTTCCAAGCTTGTGGTGCTATTTTGAAGCCTGTGGAGCCTGGCTAGCAAAGTAGGCCACTAGAGGTGGGAATAAGGTGGAGTGTGTTACAGGAAGATGTGCATGTGCCTGCATGTGTGCATGCAAGTGTGCGCACACTATCACACACACACACACACACACACACACACACACACACACATACACACACACACTCACAGAGTTATACTTGGCCCTGCTTCTGGTCCCTTTCTTTCTGCTTCCTGCTCCAGGCCATGTGACTAGCTCCACAGACTCAGCCTTCCCTGCCACCACAGCTCCCCTGCCACCATGGTGAGACCCTCTGAAACTGTGAACCAAAAATAAATTCTTCCTCTTTCAAGTTGCTTCTGTCAGGTACAGTAGCACCAGTGAAAAAAAGTAAAGCTGTACAGCCACACAATTCTACATTTGGCCTCCGGTTCTCTCCTTTAATCTTCTCTCTTAATTCTCTCCCAGGCTGTCTTCTGTGTTCCAGCCATACTGAATTACTCAGAGTGCTGTTAACATATATGCCTGCTGCATTCTGATGTGGAACGGCAATGATTTCCTTTTGGCTAGTGCTTAACATTTTAACAGAATGTCACTTCCTTTATGAAGCCCTTCTGGAATTCTTAAGGTAAAAATCAATGTTATCTCCTCAATGTACTATCCACATACTTTCATGGTGGCATGAATCATACTATTCTATTCTGATCATAGGATTCCAGCAACAGAGGGCTCAGGATTTATTATCTCTCTGTCTCCATCAAATCCTTCCTCTCAGAGCTTGGGGAACCCTAGGGAAGAGGAGGAAGCGGGAGTAGTGGGGGAGAAAGGGGAGTTGGAGGACACCAGGAGAACAAAGCTCATACGAATTCAGAGACTGAAGCAGCAATCACAGGGCCTACACGGGTCTGCAGCAGGTCCCCTGCATATATACTGCAGCTTTTAGCTTAGTATTTTTATGGGATCCCCGAATGTGTGAACGAGTGGGTCCCGGATTCTTGTGCCTTCTCTTGGGATTCTTTTATTTGTCTGTTTGCTTGTTTTGTCCAAGTTTGATATGATGTTTTTGTTTTATGTTATTACACTTTATTTTTCTATTACTTATAATTATATTTATGTTTGGCTGTCATCTCCTAGACGTCTGTTCTTTTCTAATGAGAGACAGAAAGGGAGTGGAGGTAGGGAGGAACTGGGAGGAGTAGAGGACGGGAAACTATAAAGAATCTATGCTTAATAAAAGGGAAAAAAAAGAACAAAACAGAATAAAATTAATATAGAAATCATATATTAATACACATTCATATATATTATAATTATATTTATAATATATAGTTTTAATTAATATATACATTTTAAAAAGAAACAGATACAGTTGCTTTTTTAAAGATTCTCTTGGAAGAAAAAAACTAAATGTACTTGTGTGATTGGTTCTTTGGAAGCTGTTGATAAGCCAGGTTTGGAGAAAAAAGATAAACAACTGTCTCTAAATATTTTGCCCTTCATATTACACACACACACACACACACACCCCATTATCTCTCCTCTCTCTTACTGCCTACCAACCTGCCCGAGGCATGTATAGTTATTGAAAATAATACAATTATGAGTAGGCAAATACTGGAGTTTACAGCCTAAATTTATATATAAAATAGAAAACAAATTATTCACTCTAATCTGCAATGCTTGTATGGCCCAATCATATATTAAAACCTAGTCACTACTGTGAGGGTATAAAATGGTTTTTGAGATTAGATGACGAGGGTGGAGCCTCGTGGACGGAATTAGTGTCCTTATTAAGTTAGTGTCCTTATTAAGAAGAGGCCTCAGTGAGTTGCCTTGTCCCTTCTATCACATAAGGACACAGGGAGAAGGCGCCACCTATGTACCATGAACTGAATCTTCTCCATACCAAACCAAAGCTGTTGGTGCCTTAGCCTTCCTAACCTCCAGGGCTACAAACACTAAATTTCTGTTGTCCAGGAGCTACTCAGGTGGTGATACTTCATTATAGCAGCCCCTGAAGTAATACCATACTAGGTTAAGTGCCACATAAATCTGAACAGTGTTAGGGAATGCTTAATAAATGTTTCTTGGTTAAGTAAACATTATTTAGAACTTTACAACATTTTCCCATTAAAACAATGCTAAAACTGATTGCTATATCTTCCTACAAATTCATAAATTCATGATCTACAAGTAATAGAGCTAATAACTTATGCATTGTTTCATTCTTTTCTCTTTTACTCAGTTGAAAGCATTTTTCATGACATGCATTATGTATACGGGCATTACTCAAATGGCAATCATTCTGAGAGATAAGTACATCAAGAATTATAATAGACTGACACACTTCATTTGAAGTAAAAAGTGGAGTATTGTATAACAGGGATTAGTGTTGAATGCCAAGAATATGATTTTGGTCTGGTTCTTTACAAACAAAATGGAAGTCATCTGGATTAAGAAGGAAGAGAAGTCAGGAAATATGGATGAGAAAGTCAGGTTCCATTCCTTAAGCAAGTGTTGAGTTTGGGAGGGGCTCTTTAATCAGAGGAGTGTATATTTACAAGCCCATATTTCAAAGTTTAAAATGTATAATATTATAAGGACTTGGTGAAGAACATAATTTACCCTGAGAAGCACTATGAATGTTTTTTTATACCATGTGTTGAGCAAGCTGTCTGTATGAGTGCTTTCTTCCATTAGCAAAGACAATATGGGAAATTACAGTTCTCCTGTACCTTGCCTTGAACAATGACTTTGAGTGTAATTACTATATTTATTTTGTTTTACATATAGGAGTTAGAAACATGGGTTCAGATCATGTTCTATGTCAATGACATAAAATGCTAACTACATTATTCAAACAGGATTACAGCAGGTTGCTTAGGAGATTCCCCGCTCCCCCCCCCCCCCCCAGGTCATTTCGATTATTCTGGTTTTGAATGCAATACAAATTTTCTTTTAAAATGCAATACTTTATTTTCTTTTAAAAATAAAGACCTGTTTTTCGAAGGTATGACATTTCTAGTACAGAAGCAAGATTGTGTTTCACTCTGAACAAATCAGAGTTCCCAGAAAACCACGGGTCCTGCAGGTAGGGTCTTGTTTTTTACAATGATAACCCTGAGATAGATGATTGTCCGTGGCTTCTAAGTTTCTTTCATCTTAAGTATCTGAAGTGTGGCAAAGTTGAAAGCAACCTTGATTGTGGTTTCAGGAATAGGATTTCAAATATCGTTCTTTAAAGTTCAGAGCATTATTTTCTCTCTCTAAATTTGGAAAATGGGGATATTAAAACATGCATAACAGAGTTGCAGTGTGGAGTAAGTAACGCTATTTCCGTTTTTGCCCCATTCCTTAAAGGGGGCTTAAGGTACTACCTATTTAGTAATTTGTTTCACAGACGTGTCTAGGAAGAAAAAGCATTTCACTTATGATACCTACATATATTGACTTAAAAAAAAGGTTAAAACGAAAAAAGTTGGGAAATTTGGGGCAAGTGATCACCATAAACCGGAAATGGACGCCAAATCTGCAATTACACGGAAGATCCCCTCCACATGAACCTTTGATCGGGAGCAAGCAGTTCAAGCTCCTCACCTGCCAATTTCAACATGCAGAATAAAAACAACCCCCCAAAGGGGATTATGGCCCAACATTCTACATAGGCAAGCATTTACATGTAACTTTTCAAGAAAACATTTCAACACTCTAAGCTTAAAAACAAAATCACTGCAGCAAATATGACCAGATTAAAAAAAAAAAAAAAAAAAAAAAAAAAAAACAACCTAACCAATCTGCATGTGGGATTTCAAGTTCACTGCGGCCAATAACTGCTTTCATTTAAGATTCGAGAAGGAAGGCTCAAGCATCCATTGCGCCCTGGAATGAATACTGGGGTAACAAAGCATCCCCAAAGCTCCAGAGTCACCCGCTCTGCACTCCGTCCCCGTCCCCGGGAGGCTCACCTGCAGACCCTGCTGCTGGAGGCTCTGCGTGATGTAGTCCAGGCGGCGGCACACACTCTTCTTGGCCTCGGCCGCCGCCTCCTTGGTGCTGCTCACCCGCACGGCCACTTGCGCCCGGTCGGGGCTGGCGGACACCTCGGCCGAGCCGCTCACGTGGACCTCGCGGGCTCCAGGGTGGGCCTTGGCGACGTGGGGGCGGCTGCCGACGGGCTGCGCCTCCAAGGCCGAGATCGAGTTGTTTTCCCGGCCCAGGTTAGCCCAGGGAACCAGTTCCATGAACACCCGCGACGGAGGGGCGGGTTGCAGCGACATAGCTGGGGCAGCTGCGTTGCCATAGCAATGCCCGCGGGCAGGCGGGGACTGACGCCGGGCTCCCGCGCGCCGCTACCGAGCGCGGCGGGCGCAGGGGATGCCGGGATGGGAGCGGCGGAGCCGCCGAGTTCGGGGGTGCAGCTGCAGCGTGGAGACGGGTCGACGGCGAGGAGGAGGCCGACTAGGTCGGTACACGTTGACCATAGAGCTCATGGCCTGCGGGAGACATGGCAACCGTGGCCTCCGGGTCTTGAGCACGGGCCTCCCACGTGACCTTACCCCCCCCCCTTCACCCCTTGGTCATCAAGCGGACGTGGCCTCCGTTCCCGGAGTGTGAGACCCCCCCGCAACCCCGCAGCCCTGTCTTCCTGGGTTTTATGGTGCAGGTCGGCCTGCACGTTTGTCAGGCTCCCATCGTCTTTACCCACAACTACTTGTTTTGATTCTTGAGATAAACCACGTTTTGCCAATGAGAGTTTGGACAGTATGTGAGTCAGTTTTTCCAGGACAATTTTTTTTTTTCTTTCTTTCTCAGCTGCTGTATGTTGATGAGAGGCCCCTTGTATGTAGACTGTAGGCATAAGGAAAACACAAAATAAGGGATGGCTGTTGGTCATAGCTACAGTTTTTGGAATGATCGTCAAGTCTCAGATTCTAAAATGCTTGGAGTAATGCTGGTCTTGAGCACTGGCATTCAGCGTGGGTGATGACAGGCATGTCTTGAACTTGTCTGGTATATATACCTTCCTCTCCCCCTTTGGCAGATAGGGTCTCAGCCTGCAAACCTGGCTGGCCTGGAACTTAACCGTGTTTACCAGACTGACCTCGAACAAGATTTCGACCCATTTCTTGACAGAACCATTATAACGAGAAGCTGAACTTTACCCCTTCAAGGCTCACCATTATAGTAATCCGCCCTTCCCCTCTCTCCCTCCTTTTCCTTTTCTCTTTCACTCTCCTCCTCCCCCCTCCCCTTCTCCCTCTACCTTTGGAGTGCAGGGATGAAAAACTACCACACCTGGCCTATAGTCATTTTCTTAATCACCAAGCTGTGGTCTTTGTGACCACAGCTGATCTGTTTACTACTGGAATTTTATTACCAGAATGGGGAGGAGAAAATTTTGAGGGAAAAAAAATGTAGGAAGTAGTTTCTTATAGGAACTTGAAAAAGTCAACAATCTTGGAGATTTTTCCTCAACTTTTGAAAAACTAGGTGTTTTTTAAAATAATTCAGTAATTCGGCTACATTAGGCAGTAATCTCTTCGTTTGGTTCATCATTAGGTTAACATAATTGTTCAGTCTGATGTTTATTGTCAGATGAGAATATATATGTTATAATTTTAAAACTTTCTTCCACATACATATGCAGATTTTACAACCTTAGACAAATAAAATATCTCGTAAAAATTGGAGGAATTTGTATTTTCTTGTTGGTGAACCCCAGGGACTGAAAGGGCCTCAGGCTTGGAATCAAGTGCCTTTAATGAATGAATGATGTCACCGGCCAAAAAGAGAGAAAACAATAGAAGTTTTAAGTGTATTTAGAGGACGATAAAACTTTCAAATTGGTGGAAAGATGATTAAGTTGTATAATTGGCTAGCTGTATTGAAGAAATTGAACTAAATATTATGTGATACACTGAAAATAACATTCAAAGGGGAAAAAATGAAATATGTACCTATATGTAATTCTGAGGAATGAAAGGCCTTTTTTCTTAAGCATATTTCAAACGTTGAAGTAACCATAAAGGAAAAGTCTGGGGAAAAAAAATGAATACACTAAAAAATTGTAAGAATGTAAACCAAAAACAAGAAGAGGGGAAATCAGTGTTTGTAGTACTATGTATACAAGGATATTTAGAGTGCTGTCTTGTCCCCCGCCCCCCCCCCCCCCCAAATAGAACACAGAGATAAACTGTTAATAGGCTTGGGCCACCACTGATGTCTAATACAACACCAGATTCTCAGAGTTCTGCAGGTTGGAAGTTCAAGATCAAGGCATCAGTAGGTCTGGCCTCTTCTGGGTATTTCTGGTTTGCAACAGCTGCCTTCGTAGGACCTTGCCTCTGTGCCTTATGAATGTCATCCTTGGTGTCTCTTTCTCTTCTTACAAGACCAATCCTATTACATGGATTAGAGACCTGCTCTTGGGGCTTCAATTAACCGTAATTACCTCTTTAAAAGCTTTGTCTCCACACAGTCACATTGGACTTAGGACTTGAGCAAATGAAAGGGAGTAGGGCAGAGCATGTGCCGATCCCTACAGACTCAAAGTACTGAATGAGTAATGGTCTGCAACACTAAAAAGAAAAAAAGAAACAGTTTAAACAATTTATTGGCAATTAAAGTACTGAAAATTTAAACAAATAGTAAGATTTCTTTTTAAAACTGTCGTTTGGTGACTGATGAATTCAGAATGCAGAAAAACAGATAAAAGTAATTTTAAAAGAAGGACAGATTGGTTCTTAGTGACAGAACTATGTAATAAATAAAAGTAGATATGCCTCAGTGATTGATGAGTTTTTCGGAGGAGAATGCATCTATTTGTTCAGCTTCTTCCTCAGAGTTAAGGCTCAGTCATTAGCAACCATTTTGAACAAGGTAACTGTACGAAGTTGATTGAATTAAGAATATGCATCCAAATTGCTTTTCTTGTTCTGGGAGAAGAGACATGGAGTAAGAGCAAAGTCTGTATCATTAGGTCATCAGAGATGCATCGTTATTATGCATCGTCATTATGTATCATCAGAGATGAGCATTTTTTTTTTTTTTTTTGATTAAGGCAGCACTGGAGATAGCACAGGATTCTTGAACCTTCTCTGCAACTTCAGTTTCCATGGTGCTTTCCATAGAGAGAGCTCTTTCTGGGAGTCATTGGTGCGATGATCAGTTCCCACCTAATTATGTTCTGAGAATCCATACATTTATAGTAAAGATCTTTTTTTCCAGCATAATATTTTTTGTTGGTTATTTGGGAATTTTACACAGTGCACCCCGTTCACACTCGCTTCCCATTCCTCCCGGGTTCACCCTCCCACCTTTGTGTCCTCACCCCAAAAAGGAAAGAAACACACACAGAGCCGGGCAGTGGTGGTGCACGCCTTTAATCCCAGCACTCGGGAGGCAGAGCCAGGAGAATCTCTGTGAGTTCGAGGCCAGCATGGGCTACCAAGTGAGTTCCAGGAAAGGCGCAAAGCTACACAGAGAAACGCTGTCTCGAAAAACAAAAACAAAACAAAAGAAACACACACACACATACACACACACACACACCAGGTCCAATTTGTGTTGCCTATATTTTCATTTTAGGCATGGTCAAATTCCCAGTAGCCAGCTCCTTAAAGATAACTGAGGCCTTCTCCTCACCCATGCCAGAAGCCATCAACTGTGAAGAGCTACACTTCAGCAAACCTGTCACAATTTTTAAGGACTCTTCAGTTGCTTCCTGTCTAGACTGTTTCTTTTGTGGGAAGGAGGGAGAGGTTGTCACAGAAGCCTTCAATGCCTCTCATTCTCAACTATGAGTAGTCTGCAGTCATCGATACCACTGCAAAAAAAGCTTCCTTGCCCATAAGCCCATAACAGCCACGGTCAGCATAGAACCCAGACCTCAACATGGTCCCCAATGGCAGCATGGTTGGATTACAGACACCAAAGGACATCCACATGGTCTCTGGCATTAATGTGGACCACGAACACCAATATGGCCTCTGAAGGCAGTGTGGACCATGGAGGTCTTTGGAGGAGGCCCAATCTAGAAAATGAATCATTCTCCATCTCAGTTATCTTGCTGTTGCTCAGAGCAGAGCCATTGTGTAGCTGCAAGGCATGTTCAGGGACAGAGCCTCAGCAAGGTCCAGGCTGCTGCACACCACCCTGCTTGCCCTGCTCAGCAATGACATTCTCCCTCCATCCACCGCAGCCATGCTTTTACATCTGTTGTCACCACTGCCTAGTCTCTGGCTTTGCCTCTCTCTAACGTAAGCGTGCCACTCTGTTCCGCCATCCTTCCCATCTCTCCATCTAACATTTATTCATTGAAGTGGCATTGCGAACTGCAGTGTGTTACACAGTATATTTTTTTTGCCCAAACATGCAAATTCTTATTGCAGTGAGTCATTGGTCTGTTTCAAGGTTTCTGGTTTCAGAAGCACCACAAATACTGATTCATCACCGAGACTCCTCTCAGATATCCTGTTGTTCAGAGTCAGAATGATCTCGTGGCTGGGTAGGGCAGGGCATCTGGGGGCAGGATCTGAGAAAGCAGCATGCTTGCACACCTCTCTGCCCTCAATGCAGGCTGCCCTAAGGCTCACCAGGTATGACTGTCAGGCAGCCCACAGGCAGCACCCACAGCCTCCTGCTTTCCTTCCCACAGCAGGGCAAGCAGTTCATGGCTCTATGCTGCAGGCTAGGCCATGCTGTACAGGCTGGGCCCACTGTCCCTAGCCTGCTGGACCTGCCCTACTTAACAATGTCATGTTTCTTTGTCCACCACCGCCATGCCTCTAGCTTCGTTACTCTTTGCCATACGAGGCTCTGCTCTGCCGTGCCGTCTTTCCTTCCAATATGGTGAGTCCACTTTTTAAAAGCATCTTCCCATAAGACCTGCCTTTTTTCAAGTTGTTCTGGAGATAGTGCCAGCTCTGCCGGCTCCTCCTCCTCTGCCACCCTGTCTCCCCTTGGAGCCTCTGTGGGTCTCCCAGGTTCCTCAGAGCTGCTCCATAGTCCCTGGGGTGCTAGCTACTACTTCCAACTTGAATCTGTGAGTTTGAGACCAGCCTGATCTCTAGATAGTGAGTTCCAGGCCAGCCACAGATACCTCGTGATACCTGTCCAAAGTGAAGAAAGTGGCCATGGAACTGCACTTAACAGTCTGAAGAAAATAAATCTCTGGCCAAAATTAGATACAGCAGGGTAAAACTGTAGTTCAACATAGAGTCGTCCAATCTCATGGCTGAACTGTCAACACAACCAACTAGAGAGATTAGCAGATAGGCCAATGATGAGAAGTAAACACAGCAGGACATGTCCAGTCAGTTGGGTCTCCATTCTGCAGGTACTGCTCTTCTTCTTGGGCTGATGATCACTTAGAGGGCAATTCCCATATGATAGGGACTAAAACCAATCCTTCTGTTCATCAAAATGGATTGCATTTTGTTTTGATTGTTTGTTTTAGAAGATTTTTTTTTTGTTTTTTGGGTTTTTTTTTTTTTTTTTGGTTTTTCGAGACAGGGTTTCTCTGTGTAGCTTTGTGCCTTTCCTGG